TTTGGGAATTTTGGGGAGAAAATTGGGAATTTTGAGGGATTTTGGGAATTTTAGGGAAAAATTTGGGGTTTTGGGGAGAAAAATGGGAATTTTGGGGAGAAAATTGGGAATTTTGAGGGATTTGGGGAATTTTAGGGAAAAATTTGGGGTTTTAGGGAGAAAAATGGGAATTTTGGAAGAAATTTGGAAATTTTGGAAGAAATTTGGGAATTTTAGGGAGAATTTGGGAATTTTGGGGAGAAAATTGGGAATTTTAGGGAAAAATTTGGGGTTTCAGGGAGAAAAATGGGAATTTTGGGGAGAAAATCTGGGAATTCTGGAGGAAAATTGGGAATTTTGGGGAAAATTTGGGAATTTGGGGAAGAAATTTTGGAATTTTGTGGAAAATGTGGGAATTTGGGGGAATTTTGGGAAGAATTCCTGCTGGGAAAGGGAAAAAAATTGAGGAATTTTGGGAAAAATTGGGCAATTTCAGGAAACATTTAAAAATTTGGAGCAGAAATTTGGGAATTTAGGGGAGAAAATTGGGAATTTCAGGCAGAAAATTGGGAATTTGGGGCAGAAATTAGGGAATTTTGGGGAGAAATTTGGGAATTTTGGGGAGAAATTTTGGAATTTGGGGAGAAATTTGAGAATTTTGAGAAGAAAAATTGGGAATTTTGGGCAAAATTGGGTGATTTGGGGGAGAAATTTGGGAATTTTGGGCAGAAAATTGGGATTTGGGGGAGAGATTTGGGAATTTTGGGGAGAGATTTGGGAATTTTGGGCAGAAATTTGGGATTTGGGAGCAGAAATTCAGGGATTTTGGGGAGGAGTTTGGGAATTGGGGGCATGAATTTGGGAAGAAATGTGGGGATTTTGGGCAAAAATTTGGGGATTTTGGACAGAAATTTTGGAATTTGGGGGCAGAAATTTGGGAATTCTGGGAAACATTTGGGTATTTCGGGGAGAAATTTGGGAATTTGGGAAGGAATTTGGGAATCTTGGGAAGAAATCTGGGAATTTTGGGCAGAAAATTTGGGAATTTGAGGAAAATGTGGAAATTTGGGGCCGAAATTTGGGAATTTTGGGGACAAAAAATGGGAATTCCAGGCAGAAATTTGGGAATTTTGGGCAAAATTGGGTGATTTTGGAGCAGAAATCTGGGAATTTGTGGAAAAATGGGGGAATTCAGGGCATGAATTTGGGAATTTCAGGCAGAAATTTGATAAAAAATTTGGGAATTTTGGGGCAGAAATCTGGGAATTTTGGGGCTAAAAAAATGGGAATTTCAGGCAGAAATTTGGGAATTTGGGCAGAAATTTGGGAATTTTGGGCAAAATTAGGTGATTTTGGGGCAGAAATTCGGGAATTTCAGGCAGAAATTTGGGAAAAAATTTGGGAATTTCAGGACAAATTTGGGAATTTTGGGGCAGAAATTTTGGGGAGAAATCTGGGAATTTTGGGGCCAAAAAAATGGGAATTTCAGGCAGAAAATTGGGAATTCAGGGCAGAAATTTGG